GTTATTTCCTATTTTATCATACGATGTGGTCTGCTTGATTAGTATATAAACAGAGCGTGTCTGAAATATAATGATTCATAACTCAGAGGCTGTGATTTGTGTTCCTGGCTCAACTGGCTGGGACAGATTGCGAAGCGGGACCAATCAGGGCTCTAGGTCGTCCATACGCGTTTTCCGTGTTACTGTGATCGATCGATAAAACGCTGCTTATCAAAACCTGCAGTACCACACACGTTACAACAAATCCAGGATTATCAAAGCATCAAAGCATAACAAAGACGTGAAACCGAACGAGTGTTTTCCATTGCTATGCAGTCAGTCAGCTACAACGTAGGACCAGGTACATATGTGCATCGGTCCAGGTTGCCATACCGCATCAGCACAAGATGAACACCGGATTCATAGCAGTGGTTAGGTCAAAGGTGGTAATATATAAGAGGAAGATTGCATATAGAGATATAGTACAAGAAGAAAGAATTGGTTCGTAGAAAGAAAGATATGAAGTGATTTTAATCTCTTAGTTTAAGGGAAGAAAGGGAGTGTATACACCTACGCCCTTGTGATCGATTCTGAGACATGTCACCAAGAGTCTCCAACCATCGGTTACGAAAGTCACGCGGACCCCAAACAAGTAGTCTGCATCTACCAGCATGACTCAGACTAGAGGTCAGTGTCTTCAAGGACTGATGCCACGTTTTGGTTTGGCCGCCCCTAACTTTCTTTCAAACATCCTCAACACTAGTCAGCATTGCCCGTCGTGGTAATCGGGGTTCAGGCATACGCAACACGTGGCCCAACCATCTCAGTCGATGAAGATTAACAACCTCATCGACTGATTTACCATCATTACTTAATACCCTGCTTCTAACCTCACTATTACTTATCCGGTGATCCCAGCAGACGCCAGCAATATTTCTAAGGCATCTGTGGTCAAATACTAATAGCTTACGAGTGTCTTCTACTCTTAAAGGCCATGTTTCTCTGCCGTAAAGTAAAACAGGACGGACTGCCGCGCAGTATACTCGTCCTTTTATTGATAGACGGATATCTCGCCTTCGCCAAAGGTGACGCAAGCTGGCAAAAACCAAACGAGCTCTTCGAATCCGTGCTGAGATTTCGTCCGATACCAGCCCATTAGGGTTGATCAGACGTTCAGGATAAGTGAAGTTGTCGACGCGTTCGACCACTTCATTCCCTATCGTTAGTTCAGGTGTCAACGCAGACCAGTCCTGAGGCGACAAATTGTATTTGGAGGGAGAGAAGCGCATTCCAAACATTCTGGCATGTCGCTCAGTGCTACCAAAAGACTCTGCATTTTATCAGCATCTTCACCAAACAGAACTATATCATCTGCGTATTCTAAGTCGATAAGTGGACCTCCTGGTAGGAGATCGGTGCCCGAAAATCCAGTCGACGAGAATGTTATTTCCATCAGTATGTTTATGATGAAGTTGAACGAAAATGGAAATAGTGGACAGCCTTGAAGGACACCACTTGAGGTTACAAAAGCAGATGATAGTTCGCCATAAGCTCTCACTCGATTAGTAGTGTTCGAGTAAAGAGCCTTCACAAGATTTATGTACTTCTGAGGTGTGCCTTTCAATGACAGACACTACCACAGGATCTCGCGGTCTACGGAGTCAAATGATGTTTTTAGGTCAAGAAAGACCGCCACTGTCGGACGCCGATAAGCATGTCTGTGTTCTAGAACCTGACGAATGGTGAATCTGTAGTCGATACAGCCACGACCAGGTCTGAAGTCAGCCTGATTCTCTCGTGTTTGCAGTTCACGAGTCTTAGTTAGGCGTCCGATAATTATTGAGGCTAGTATTTGAGATGTTATATTAGTTAAACCAATCCCTCTATTGTTATCACAAGATGATTTTGACCCTTTCTTATATATTGGGACGATAAGTGATTGTGACTAGTCAGATGGGATAACGTCTAACTCCCAGATTTTAGCTAAAATATTAGTCAAATTAATCGCTAAAATCGGACTACCATCCTTAAAGACTTCTGGAGCCAATCCATCTGGACCAGCTGCTGTTCCTTGTTTCAAGTTAGCTATAGCTTTCTTAAATTCAGCTAGAGTTGGGGGACCTACTTCAATGTTCCATTCACACTGTCTGGGAATGGAGGGTAGTTGTAGAGTCGCTGAAGGCCAGCTGAACTGTTCTCTGAAATGTTCTGTCCACCGTTTTAAACGTCTAGACTGGGAGCAGATGAGAGTGTTGTCTTTTTCCGAGATATTCTCTCTTACACTTGACTTATTAGTTCCAGTTTCTTTTATTAGTCTGTAGAGCTGTCTTGTGTTCCCTATAGACGCCGCCTTTTCCATCTCTTTTGCTTTCGTTGCCCACCACTGCTCACGGTCGTTCCTCAGACTTTTGGTTAACCTAGATCTGATTTGTTTCGATCTTCATCGTGTTCAGAGCCTGATGTGATGGGTTCACGAGAATCCATCAGTGTAATAGACCTTGAAGAAATCCATTGGCTCTTCGTGACCCTCTGGTTTATATCACTAATCGATTTCATTGCTGTTTCCACAGCTGTTTGTATATCTTTCCAAGCAACATCTGGGTTAGCCTCGTTTTCAGAACTACCTAAGTGTGACCTCAGTTGTTCCTGGAACCTACTTTTGGTTTTCTCGTTACTCAACTCAGTTCTAATGGGTCTTTTTAATGTGGCTTTTTTGCGTCCAGTGAGGCGCAAGCAGATGCGTGCCCGTATTAGGGCATGGTCGGAGTCCAAGCAGGTACTCCAGAATGAGCGACAATCTTCTACCGACCCTCTCCAACGATGACTGATGGCAATATGGTCTATTTGAGTCCATCGTTGGTTTGGTGTAGGGGTTCGCCATGTTAGACGATGTCTCTCCTTATGCTTAAAATTTGTTTGCTAAAAATAAGCGATTGTCTGAGCATAGTTGCAGCAGACGATCACCATTATCTGTTCGCTGTGCCGGAATACTAAGATACCCACCTAAATGCCTTTCTGTTTGGTTTAAACTACCTATCTGGGCATTAAAGTCACCTGCTACGAGTACTATGTCTGAGCGTTTAGCTTTCTGAAGAAGTTCAGAGAGCTTTCTGTAAAATTCATCTTTCACTTCATCTGAGCTGCAGTCAGTGGGAGCGTAGGCAGAAACGACGAAAAGGCAACGACGTGTGTCCCTATCCTTCCGAGTTCTTACGGAGCCGTTTAGCCGAACAGCACATAGACGACTGTTGACGGGGATCCACTCTAACAGTGCTTGTTCCGCCCTCATGCTTAGTGCTATGCCTACACCTGCCAGTCCACGAGAACTGGCCATCGGGTCACCAGATACACGGAGGGTGTATCTCGTTGGCTCTCCGTTTTGCCGAGGTGAGGTCAAGTGAATGACCACACTGAGATCCTGTATGCGTGTTTCGGAGACACAGCATACATCAATGGTACGAGATTCTAGGGTTTTAGCCAAGGAAGCCTGCTGACCGATTTGACATAGGGTGCGTACGTTGAAGGCTCCAATGTGTAGTTTGGAGCGAGGTTTCAGTAGACCTGGGACAGTGTTTTGAGCACTAGAATCGTTGGCTATGGTGACACTTGAGGAGGAAGCCGAAAGAGGAAGTTTAGAGTTGAAAGTCGATGTAGGAGGAATAATAGGAATTGAAGAGGAGGTTGATTATGAATACAGTGGTCTTGAGTGCTGTTAGAAGTATGAGGGCGGTTATCACTTCCCGGTTGCCCACACCGTGGAAGGGTTCTTCTGGAGGTACCTGAAAAGGAAATTGGATTAGAGGTGGTCTCAGTGACCTGAGAGCGTGACCGCAGTACCCAAGGGACAACTGCTTGAGGTCGGTCACACACGACCTTTTTATGGGCAATTTTTGTATTAGCTCCGTACTTGTTGAGACCTTACCGCCGGAGACGGTAATGGGGAAGCTCTGAAATAAGTTGAAACTTTCACGTTCCTGGTCAGCATCATCGATGAAGGTGGAGGATTTGATGCGGACGTAAAGCCAAGGACATCATTACTAAGATTGAAGGATATATTGGACTCAAAACAACTGTTAGCCACAATCAAAGTCAGAATCTTTAATACGAACGTAAAGAAAGTTTTACTGTACGGAGCTGAAACTTGGAGAACTACAACCATAACCAATAAGGTATAAATACTTCTAAACAATTGTCTATGCAACATACTCAATAATCGTCTACCGGAAACCATCATCGACAGCCTACCGTGGAAAACAACAAACCAGACTCCAGCTGCAGAGGAAATTAGGAAAAGATGTTGGAAGTGGATACGACCTACATTACGGAAATCACCAGACTGCATTACGAGGAAAGCCATAACTTAGAATCCTGAAGGGAAGCAGAAAAGAGGAAGACCGAAGAACACACTACGTCGGGAAATGGAAGCAGATATGAGAAGGATTAACAGCAAGTGGAAAGGACAGCCCACGACAGAGTTGGGTGGAGAGTGCTGATGGGCGGCCTATGCTCCTCCGCGACGGGTAACAGGTGTAAGGAACAGGGACTTAAACCGTGATATCAAGAGACATATAAGAGCCAACCCTAGCATGCAAAAAAGGTGTAACAGACCTAAGTAAGCACGTATATACCAGCTTATGCAACATAACAAACGCGAAATAATTTTGTCCGCTACGAAAAACACTTCGAACCTTTATATTTATAAATAAAACAGACCAAACTTAATTAATAAAGCTTAAGTAGAAGATATTAAAGAGGTAACGTTAGCTTCAATGAGAAAAAACACAAGTCTTATTCAAGACGATTTTTCATATTGAAGAGTTATATTAACCGAATGAATTCAACTACATTGAACTCATAAAGATCTGTCAATTTGAGTACTAAGAAAATAGATTGGAAACACAGATACACATAAATTTTAGAGAAGATTTAGGAACATTCATCATCTGCAAATTGTTATTGTCCGGATGGTATAATTGAAATATAAAGGACCAATAAAGAAGCCAAACTCCGAAGACTAGATGTTACAGCAACCCACGTTTTAGACGACTGATAAGATGAACCATTTTCAAAGCCGGACCCAATTTAATCTTCATATAATTACGCAGTGATTCCATGCTAAGAAGAAGAAGCGCTTGGCCATCTATTTCCTGTAACAAAAGAGTTATAATACATCCACTTACTATTTTTGAAATCTTCGTACACATAATACAATATCAAATTTATGGATGCATTGACCACACAGTATATTTGCAGAAAGATACAAACTTTACAATGGAAAAAAGGTACGAATACTTAATGTATAACTATAGAAAACCATCATAAGTGTTCGTTTAACGACTCAAGAGCTAATGATGTGCCTTCACTAGACAAGTAAAGCCTGAGGGTTCTGACCGACTTTAGCTAATTTTATTTAGAAAGGCGAATAGTGCCGTTAATGCTCACAATATATATACTAATGCTTACTACCTATAAATCGACATACGGTAGCAAGTTCTACGTACATCATAATGTAATGTGGTATGGCAACTTAAACCGATATACTCGTATGTCAGGTTCTACCTTTCGTATAACTGAATGACTGGTATTACAACTACTGAAATTAGATCAAATAAAGTACTAAAAGCGGTCATCAATTCGGACCAACCAGAGACTCCAATATTAATATATCATTTTTCACTAGTTTATTTAAAATACAGCTAAATTATAGTATGAAAATAGCTAGTGAAGATACTAGTACTAAAGATCTATTCGTCAAAAACAGTTCTTGACCAACTACAACATAAAAAATTCGTCACTAGTGTGTAAAGAGGTAAATATTGCGCATAACCGATGAATATAGCTAACATGGATTGTCATAATTGGAAGTCTATCGAAAAAAGCAAACTTATTATTCTCTTTGTAATAAACACCAGCATCAGTATTAACTGACGGTTGTTCAACTAACTATAAGACTAAAAAACTTGAAAACTGCATGACTAACTGATGCGATGTGTGCACCACAATAAGAGGTATTTTTAATATCAAAGTATCGGTGTTACAATACAAGGTTGATTGCGAACGCTACTCAAGTTTTTAATCCAGCAGTGATATGAAAAAATGTAACATGCTAGGTTACAAAAGATTTCATCCAGAATTAAAAACATCCTAAATTAGCATATTGCGTTTTCCAGTCTCAATTTGATACTTGACCTACTTCGTGGGATTTCTGGATTCCTGTACACAAAGCACCGTTCGTGCTGAAAAAAACACCATAACATAAAACCTGAGGACCAGTAATTATTTGTAAAATAAAAGAATGACCCACTTTGGTTTGAGTTATGGAAATAAGTAAGAGAAAACGGACAGTATTAACGATGACAAAAAACATACATGATGTTTGAATTTTTCCGCTGCTTCAAGGAGAGTAGCATCACGAGCCGTAATGTAATTGTATACTTCTTCAATAGTCCACTGAGTAGGATTAGGAAAAGGAAACGATCCTAAATCTGAAATTTTATACACAAACAGTTAAAACTGATGAGTGAAATGTCTCTTGTTAGTCGTCTGATACATAATTTTGATAAGTGAATTATGGCCAGCAACTTCAAACTATCGTTTGTATGCGTATTGTGTTTTTCTTTGTCTAATATTTTTCGACCAATATACTTCACTTGACTTGAAGTGACTGACAGTTGGATAGGCTTTATCGAAGTTAAACGTAGAGTACTCATTATGATATTGGATCAGTTATTGTGAAATTTCACCAGCTAAGATATCTGAGACATGAATTGAGAGAATACAGCCTTTCCATAAGTCGATCCATAATATAATAAAATATTTACATGAACAATAGAATAAAAATCTTTAAAAAATACATTTTATTTAATTATTTGCTACTTCCGATATGAATAATGGGAAACTGTGGCCTTGATATTTGCCTATGAGATAGATCAAAAGCGTCTTAAAGTATTTGATCCCGAAATTCATACACTAAGCAACAAACCACCTTAAGTAACTCACTATAATTTCATCTTCAGAGATATTTGTAGTTCTAATGATAGAGGTGTTTTGTGTACACCAATAAACTAACAATTAGTGACTACATGAACTGATATAATATACTGAACTGTGTTTTTAACTTTTTAAATATAAGAATTAAATCCTAGTCACAGTCAGTCAGTAACAACGTAGAACTTCGTACGTACGTACGTACATCAATTCGAGTTGCCACACCATATTAGGTGTAGACTACCTGGTTGGGGACCGCGAGATGATAGCAACCGATGGTTAGAAACCCTGAATGACATGGCTCAAAATCGTTTGCAATGGCGCAGGTGCATCCACTCTCTGTGTTCTCCCAAATTCTAATCTTCTGAATCCTTTATGTCCCTTTTTTCCTCTTTCCAAATTTATTTCACTGGATTATACTCTTTAAATAACATCTCCAAACCCTAATCTTCCCGATTACTGCTTATACTCTTGCTACCTCTACCACTACGGGATTTGAATAGACAACTGCATCTCTGTGCTAATGTGGTGTGGCAACTCGAACTGATGTACATATGTACGAAGTTCTACGTTGTTACTGACTGACTGACAGAGATGTAGTGGCCGATTCAAATCCCGTAGTGGTAGAGGTAATAAGAGTATAAGCAGTAATCGGGAAGATTAGGGTTTAAAGATGTTATTTAAAGAGTATAATATAGTGAAATAAATTTGGGAAGAGAAAAAAGAGACAAGGAGGAATAAGGAGATCAAAATTTGGGAGAACACAAAGAGTGTATACACCTGCGCCATTGCAAACGATTTTGAGCCATGTCATTCAGGGTCTCTAACCATCGGTTGCTACCATCTCGCGGTCCCCAACCAGGTAGTCTACACCTACCAACATGACTCAGTCCACTTGTCAGTGACTTCATGGACTTGTGCCATGTTTTGGTCTGGCCGTCCATAACTTTCTTCCAACCTACTCCTATACTACTGAATATCGCACGTCGAGGCAGTCGGTAGTCGGGCATACGTCATACGTGTCCCGGCCATCTCAACTGATGAAGTTTCACTACTTCAATCGATTTGCTATCCTTACCTAGCACCCGTTTCCTAACAACTACATTACTTACTCGATGGTCCCAGGATATACGAGCAATGTTTCGAAGACACCTATGACCGAAGACTAGTAACCTACTAATATCCTTTACTTTTGCCGGCCATGTTTCACTGCCATAAAGTAGGACGGAACGAACTGTTGTGCAGTAAACACGTCCTTTGGTTGATAGACGGATATCTCGTCTACGCCATAAATGACGCAAGTTGGCAAAAGCTAGTCGAGCCTTCTGTATCTGCTGAGATTTCGTCACACACTAGACCACAAGGGCTGATGAGACTTCCAAGATAAGTGAAGCGATTGACACGCTCAATTACTTCACTACCTATCATTAGTTCGGGTGTCAATGCAACCCAATCCTGAAGCAACATTTTGCATTTCGAGGGGAAGAATCGCACCCCAAACATCCTTGCATTGTTTTTTATAGTGGTCAGAAGACTGCATTTCGTCAGCATCTTCACCAAATGTCATCCACATATTCCAAGTCAACGAGTTCATCTCCTGGAAATTTAGTTGAGGAGAGTGTTATCTCTAAAAGTACATCGACCACAAAGTTGAACAAGAATGGGGAGTGGACAGCCCTGACGAACACCACTTGAGGTAATCAATTCTGATGACAGTTCGCCATAAGCTCTCACTCGACCAGTTGTGTTCGAGTAGAGAGCCTTTATAAGGTTAATGTACTTCTTTGGTACTCCTTTCAGTGACAAACACTGCCATAGAACCTCACGATCAACAGAGTCGAATGCCGCCTTAAGGTCGAGAAATACTACCATTGTGGGGCGTCTGAATGTGTGTCTGTGTTCTAGAACCTGACGTAGTGTGAATATCTGATCTATACAACCACGTCCAGGTCGAAAACCAGCCTGGTTTTCTCTAGTCTGCTCTTCACGAGCTTTGTTAGGCGTCGAAGTATTATTGAAGCTAATATTTTAGACACTATATTAGTCAAACTGATTCCTCTGTGATTGTCACAAGAGGACTTTTGTCCTTTCTTATAGACTGGCACAATCAGTGATTGAGACCAGTCAGATGGGATTACGTCCAGTTCCCAAATTCTACCTAAGACCTCAGTTAATCTCACTGCTAATACTGGACCACCATCCTTAAAAATCTCAGGAGTAAACCTGTCAGGGCCTGCTGCTCTCCCTCGTTTCAGATTTCCTATGGCTTTTTCAACTTCGTAAAGAGGGAGGACCTACATTAACTTGCCATTCAGGTTGACTGAAGATCGTGGGAAACCGAAGTGTGGCTGAAGGCCAGTTGAACTGATCCCTAAAGTGTTCTGCCCATCGATCCAATCTCCTGGATTGAGAATGAATAATATGTCCATCTTTTTCTGAGATTGTTTCGCTAACAGTCGGGTTCCTAATTCCGGTTTCCTTAACAAGTCTGAACAATTGTCTGCTATTACCTATTGCCGCTGCCTTTTCCATCTCTCTTGCTTTCGCTACCCACCACTGTTCGCGATCATTGCGTAGACTTCTTGTCAGCTTGCGCTTAAGCTGACTCCGCTCTTCATTATGTTCAGAGCCAGGTGGAATGAGTTTCCGAGCATCTATCAGTGCGATAGATGCTGCTGAGATCCAGTGTTGCTCCCTAACCTTACGGTTTACCTTACTAGATATCACTGCTGTTTCCACAGCTTTTCGGATATCATTCCATGCTGCCTCGGGGTGGGCATCACATACATGGCTGCCTAACTGTTTTCCTAGTTGTTCCTGAAATATACTCTTAGCTTGACTATCATTAAGTAGGCCCTAAGAGGTTTCCTTGCAGCGTCTTTCCTACGTCCAGTAAGACGCAAGCAAATACGCGCTCGCACTAGAGCATGATCTGAATCTAGGCATGTGCTCCAGAATGAGCGACAGTCTTCTATCGAGCCCCTCCATCGGTGGCTGATAGCGATGTGATCTATTTGGGTCCAACGTTGGGACGAATTAGGGGGTCGCCATGTTAAAAGATGTTTTTCCTTATGCTTAAAGTTAGTATTTGCAAGGAACAGGCGGTTATCTGAGCATAGCTGCAACAGACGGTCGCCATTATCTGTTCTTTGAGCCACGACCCATAAGATCCACCTAGGTGTCTTTCCCTATCGCTTAGTTTACCTACTTGAGCATTAAAGTCACCGGCCACTATTACTACATCCGAGCGCCTAGCTTTTCGGAGAAGGTCCGAAAGCTTTCTGTAAAACTCATCTTTTACATCATCTGAGCTGCAGTCAGTGGGAGAATAGGCAGAGACGACGAAGAGGCAACGACGAGTGTCCCTATCTTTCCGGATTCTTACTGTTCCGTTCAGTCGGACAGCGCACAAACGACTGTCTATTGGGATCCACTCTAAGAGAGCTAGTTCTGCCCTAGGACTCAATGCTATACCTACGCCGGCGAGGCCACGGGAAGCAGAATCAGGGCTTCCAGATACACGAAGTGTGAATCGAGTCGGTTCTTTATTTTGGCATGGTGAGGTCAAATGAATGACGCTAATCGGATCCTGTATGCGCGTTTCGGAGACGCAGCACACATCGATGGCGCGGGATTCTAAAGTCCTAGCTAAGGAAGCCTGTTGTCCTATTTGGCACAGTGTTCGTACGTTAAAAGCTCCTACGTGTAGTTTAGAGCGTGGTTTCAGGAGACCAGGAATAACGTTCCGTGTACTCAGATCGTTTGCCCTAGCGGTGCGAGGTGAAAAAAGGACGTGAGAGGGGTTAGTCGGGAGATAAGAGTGGTATTAGGAGGTGTAGGAAGGATTTGAATGTGACCAACTTGGTCTCGTGTGCTGTTACGGGTATGAGGGCTGATGTCACTTCCCGGCTGCCCACACCGTGGAAGGGTATTTCTTGAGGAACCTGAAAAGGAAATTGGATTAGTGTTGGTCTTGACGACCTGGGAGCGTGACCGCAGAGCCCAAGGGACAACTGCTTGAGGCCGGTCGCGCACGGCCTTTTTGTGGAAGGTTTTTGAACGTGTTAGCTCCGTTCTTCAAGGGCCTTACCGCCGGAGACGGAAATCCGTGAGGTAAGGTGAGGTGTGCATTTTTAGGGTCGACCTTTTCTAACCCCACCCCTCCTTGTGGGAAGGCAGCATCGCTGCAATGCTGGTTGTCCGAGGGAAACACCTTACTGCTGTCAAACCCCTCTACAGTCAGCAGTACGACTTCGCCCTCAGACCTTGAGTTGCTGCTTTTAGTCTTACCGTTCTCCAATCGACCTGCCTGGCATGGTAGAACCTACAGGAACATATGTTCCAGCCAATATAGCTCGGTTGGGTCATCACGATAGGCAAGCCCGACCACCGCGTAAAGGTAGCAGTCACCACTGTGTACATTTAAAAAATGCCAACTTCTAGAAGTTCCCAACATTATCTCTCCATTTAGTCAGTGCCAGATGTCATATAAATCGTGTCCAATAAAGGCTACCACAGCCCAAGGAAGTCTATACACAGGTAAGTTACTTTTAGCACAACTGAGCCTCATACTATTGGCCTAACTCAGTCAGTGGAACTGTTAAGATTATCAGAATTATCAAACGCATAAGATAAGATTATTATCTAGTACACGTACTGGAGATTGTAAAATGTACGATACAGAGAATTCACAATTTTAATAGCATCATTTCCCTTATAGAATAAATTGACTAATAACAAAAAATTGATGTCTTACTCTTGATTTTTAACTCAAAAACGGTTATAATTCATATATATACATATATGGGCAAAATATATCCGGCCACTTGGGTTTATTTTACAACAAAGAATGAGTAAAGGTATGTTTAGTTACCACATACAATTATTAAAAAAACTATGACTATTTGAACATCTCAACCTTAGAGGTTTACAAAAACGGATAAATTACTGGATATGAATGAAATTATTTCCTGGAATTTTTTATAGCTGAACAACTTTAATAAATAGGACGGTTTATCTTGACAGAACACTGTGGGGATTATTTTACAGAAGCTACTAACAGGGATATAAGCGAAACTGATCAAAAACAAACTAATGGGAAATTAGCTCGAGAAAAAAAAATAGTAGCGTTGCTAAACAACTTAATTAATTTATCAACTGGGACAGTATCATGTTGTGATATCAGAAAAAAAAGTGTGATCTAAACGGAACAATCAACTATCTGGGGAGACTAACTGATTGCTTGACCAATACACAGCATGAATTTTACTGAGTATGCAACGCAAAACTAGAGTTCTATTATTTTTAAGCCTTAACAATGTGGTTCTAGAATTGACAATCAAACATTTTACTGAATTTACCCGGAAAGTAAATGAGTTCCCAAACGTGATGCCTGAAGCCTCGTTGAAGCGTCAGTTGGAAATACGGATAGCTATTCGAAAACCAAAATTAAGGAGCAGATTTAGAAATTAATTCTCACACTAAATGCTCAAACAGACTAACGTAATGGACTTCGTCATATATAGATGAGACGCTTTGGTATGGTATTTGACTTAAAAATACGTTTATAGTAGCACAGGGAACAGGAGTGACCTTTTGATTTTTTGTATTAAAAGCGATTAGATGAACTTAGAGTTCACCTGAAAATGAACATTACTATTCGTAGATGTTCAAAAGTGGAAATATTTTCCAGTCATGTTGAAAATAAAATTATATTGGATGCTTCATGAACATCAATGGGCAATGAAAGTTACGTTGAACAGAGACAGATAAGAAGTTATTATAATAGTACAACAATAAAACTCTGAATCGCTCATATTCTCCCATTGAGAAAGATAGATATGGAAACTGCAGACCTTATGCTAGATATAGTCTAAATAAGTTGAAACCATATTTGTAGGTTTTATAGCATTACTAGATATGGGCACAAACTTACCCAGTGATGAAGGAGATACTGTTGACGAAGGGAGATGTGTAGTTAGACTCTGACTATCTAAACTATCAACATTTTGATGAGCGTACACAGGATAAGAAGATTTATTAGAATTAGACTCTAACTTTCCAGAAAACCACAAATGTGAATCGGATGTTTCAACAGATAAATTATCATGAGTAGGGGAATTCATTTCGTCAAAGTAACAGCCATTCGTATGCATGATATCATGGGAGATATGTGATTGAAAGACTAAACTTGACCCCATGGTTGCACTATTACTTCGATCGTTCTCCGATTTAAATAAACTCTTTCTATCTGCCATGAAGACAGGAGTACATGTTAATGCAGAATCGTTTTTGCAGAAAGCAGTAGAATCGGCAGCTTCGTTTTTGTACAAATTGGGATTGTCTTCTGAATAAGCGATTGACTTTTCATAGTTTGACTCACATCAGAAAAGGCTTTCAGCTGGGGAGAAACTGAATCAACATACTCATAGTCGCACAGCACCGAACTAGTTAAACTGTTACTATAAAGTAAGAAAATAAAGAATAGGATGTGAATTCTAGTTTCAATGATTGGGTGCCATTAACATACAGTTACACTTCCCTTAAACAAAAAGTAAATTCGCTAATTCAAATTAATACACTTAGCGAAAACATCGGACAAAAAACTTAACAAAGAAGGGAAGATCACGGAAAACTTGTCTACAAATAGGAAGCGAACAAACGGTCTGAACATGTAATAAGGTATTTCAATGTTATTCAACAAAAAAGAGGAAGTCAATCCACTTGTATAAATGTGTTGCGAGCACCCACAATAAATAATGAATGGCCATCCATTTTCTGTAACAAAAGAGTTATAATACATCCACTTACTATTTTTGAAATCTTCGTACACATAATACAATATCAAATTTATGGATGCATTGACCACACAGTATATTTGCAGAAAGATACAAACTTTACAATGGAAAAAAGGTACGAATACTTAATGTATAACTATAGAAAACCATCATAAGTGTTCGTTTAACGACTCAAGAGCTAATGATGTGCCTTCACTAGACAAGTAAAGCCTGAGGGTTCTGACCGACTTTAGCTAATTTTATTTAGAAAGGCGAATAGTGCCGTTAATGCTCACAATATATATACTAATGCTTACTACCTATAAATCGACATACGGTAGCAAGTTCTACGTACATCATAATGTAATGTGGTATGGCAACTTAAACCGATATACTCGTATGTCAGGTTCTACCTTTCGTATAACTGAATGACTGGTATTACAACTACTGAAATTAGATCAAATAAAGTACTAAAAGCGGTCATCAATTCGGACCAACCAGAGACTCCAATATTAATATATCATTTTTCACTAGTTTATTTAAAATACAGCTAAATTATAGTATGAAAATAGCTAGTGAAGATACTAAGATCATACTGGAAACCAACAACAATAGACCTTCAGAGTTGATATAAAAGGTGAGTTACTACCTCATTACAAAAAAGTGAGTCAATCACAGATTTATAGCTATTCACGGCTTAGAAGAACATATAATGTACAGTGCTATCAGGTTTTACTTAGTTACGTACGTTAGATGTTGTTGAGTATCTACTGATAAATTCTGTGTGACTGAACATGTTTGAAGCTTACTTGGCTATTTTGAATTTCTGTTTTATTTTGGGATATTTTTTCTTCGAATTTCCACTGCGACGCTTCAGTTTGTGTTGTTTGCTTTTTTGCTTAGTTTTTGTTACTACTTTCCATGATTTTAGTTCTGGCTCATAAGGATGTGACACGTTGGACATTGGCATTAGTGATGATTTCGCTTGAAGACGCACAACGCAATCTGAAGGGCCACTGAAACGTCGATGACGTCCGTTCGCAGAATCACTCACAAATTCAGAAGCTTCGATTCGTGGAGGATGTTCAGGGGGAGACGAAGAGTAAAACGTGTTTAAAGAATCACTTGCATCTTCTAGGACAGGAGGGACAATGGGTGGTGATATCAAGGACCGAATGGAAGAATCAACTTGTGAAGTATTTAGGGAATTAGGTTCCACAAACAAATCAACACGTTCATTTTATTGACGTCCATATGGTCTGAAGCAACGCTATTATGATTTGGCATTGATAAAACTGGAGAAAATGAACTCCTTATACTTAGAGGTTGTTTTGCTGACAGCTCACAAGGATTCCTGAAAGGTGTTGAGCTTTCTGATTCGTCATGCAAATTACTCCTAACTAAATTTGTATGCGATTTAATTCTTCTTGAAAGTCCCAACTTTTTACGAGGACATGAGGACGTTTTATCTGTCTTTGTGATACGACTGCAACTGTTAGTAAGTACTTTAGATAGATATTTTGGTGAGATGCTGGGAGCTTGGGAAACAGAATTATGAGCATACAAGAAACTAGGGGTTGAATGAATAATTGGAGAGCGTATAACGTTTGGTCCAGGTGGCTGAAGAGGGTAGTTGGCTGACTTACACCAACCGACAGGAAATAGTTCACGACTATCGAAACGAGCCCAATAGTCAAAAGCTCCTGACCAACCATCAAAATTTATCAAAATATGGTGGCCATTCACTGCGCCTACAGATGCAGGACATATCAGCTGAGTATTTCTACGATCTACTGCCTCTAACTTGTCATTCACTTGGAAGTAGTTATCCTCTGGATCTGGTGGTTGCTGTAATAGAAAAAATACGGTATTACTAATTGGAAACAACATGAAAACAAAATACGAACTATAAGACAGATTACGACTTACTGAAATGAACCACGAAGGATCTGCAAAACGCGTTCCTTCAGTTGCTTTCTTAAGAGTACGATTCCACACAAGATGATTATGCATATAGCCAAAGGGTGGTTGTAGTGGACTTCCAGAAGGATAAGGTCTGATTTGATCAGAATCAACTAAGAACCAATAATCATTACGATCATCAGTTCCAACCAGACGTATTCTCAAACGTGGACCACACGTTTCTATCACTCGAGCTAAACTGAATGAAGCTGCTCTGAAGCGTCGGACAGTTCCACTGGAGTGAGGATTCAGACTGGACCTTCTACATGGGGTCTCCAACAGCTGTTGATTACTAATAGTAGAATTATTAGCATAACGTGCTTTTATTAGGTCGTTTGAATATGGATTGAGAACAAGAGCTGCGCTACGTTGATCCTCCGCTTCTAGAATGGTATTCACCTCGAAATAGTTTGGCGGAGGAACAAGAGACTGAAACAAAAACAAGAAATTGATGTTTTGATACAGTAAGAAATGTATAAATGAGCAGTTAGAAGCGGAATTAAGACGAAATAATTGATTATATAGAGTTGAATAATGTTAAAAGCGACATCAATATAGAATAAGTGGATGCGATTAGTTTCGCTAAAAAAACTGTTAAAATATACTAAAAACTCAAAATAGCTATAATCTATATTTCATAAGACTCAGCTACGCTTGATGATATACTACTTACTATCCCAATACAAAATATTTCACTTCAGCTAAACCTAGTACTTCTAAACGCGTGGAAAATAAAAATACTGGAAATATGAAAAACCGAACCAGCAACATAGAACCTGTCACTTAACTTGATAGGCTCTCAATCCCACAGTTCGAAACAATGTACCTGAGAGAGATATACATATATTAAAAATAACGAGAATGCGTTGTGCGGACGAAAGAAACAAAACGAGTTAAGACAAATTATTTATAGGCGGAACCTCCTTCGCCATCCTGTCATTTGCCCCCAAATGCCCAGGTATGGTCGGGGGTGGGGAGTGTCAGCTTTCACTTTCAAAATGTTACCATATGTCCACGCGTATACAACCACTGACAATGAAGACCTACTCATTGCCTTCTCACGACAGAGGTGCTGTTTACGAAATTGAGAGGGTGAAAAGCGAATGTCCGGTGCTTTAACTGGGCTGGTTGAAACGGAGGGTCTACCTAGGTGAGTTGGAAAACCCTAATTCCAAACCAATGGCGCACATGGGCTCCAAAATCCTGAGGGAATAAATGGCGCATGGGCCTATTGTTTGTCACCGGCTACCACGAGGCTGCATCTTCTGACGTTGCTTCATTACCATATGTTTTGGACCTTTAAGTCTATAGCTCAGGGTGTGGCGCCCTAAGAAATCACCTGCTTCGGTTTGGGCGCCCGGGTAGTATCACAGACCTCACACAAATCAATCGCAACTCCTACTGACCTTTTTGTTATCGTGGCGGATACGTATTTGGTGCCCTCTCGTGCCAATGTTTGTGTTCAAATAAAATAATAATAAATAAATAAATCTACTAGACCTTCATGAGGCTGTTAGATATTCTATTACAGGTGATAATGGCATACGCCAAGCGAGTTAATGACATATTTGGACAAGAGAATGGATCAAAAATCAATTAAGTTTGGTGCTCAACTAGTTCACCTACCATCATATTATATCGTCTAATGTGGAACACTTAACATTTATAGGCGAAAATAAAACATGAATTGCACTTCTGAACAACTCGGATCTGCTTCAGATAGCTTCATAACGAGCCTTGCAGATCAAGGACATATTTTGAAGTTGTCAGCACTACATAAATTAAACCCAATAACTTACATTTGCTTCTTAGCATCAGATGTCTTTTTCGTCGACTTACGTGTGATATGTGTAAACGCTGAATTTACTGATTTACGGCAGCCTGTGTCCCACAACAATTAGATCAACAGGAAATATTTCGTCTGAAGAACCTTAGATTTAATGCTTTCTCCAGTAGTTTATGTGGTATTCAATAAAGCTTGTTAGGAACTATGAACAGCTGTAAGAATGTTTTATCAACAAAGTTACAAATACTTTAGTAAATCAAGCAATTAGTCTCGTTGATAAACATTTCAAAACTCAAATGTGCCGTCTCAAATAATGGCCTCTGAGTGTCTTGATTTTCAACCAGCAGGGTTGTAATATGCTGTGCCCCTGATAGCAAGTAACATGATAACTAATAAGATGCAGGATTTCGTGCCTAATTCAAGTGTATCAACACTGACTGGTAGCCTCTGAATGAAATATGGATATGAACGAGATATTTCTTAGATATCTACAAAATTACGATGATGTTGGAATACCTACAATACCTTTGTACTACTGCCGACGCAATGGATGAACCACTGGGGTACGACCACAAAAGTTTTCATTTCGATGGAATTGTTGATACTGGAACCAGAATAGGCAGTCAAAAATAGGTACAATATTCGATGATATTAGATACTCAAGAACAATTATTCTCACAAAGTTTTCCAACAAAGAAAATTCTGAGCCCTTACATAGTTAATCGAATTTAAGCAGTACAAACTCATATGCGTGAATATCCAGTTATTTTACCGTGAGTGTTGTTAAGGAAACCTTTTGAATTATACCTTAAGGCCATGGACGAATTATTTCCTTACTGTTCCTTTACCTCGTAATATTAATAGGCTTCAGGCCAATGTGCCAACTTTCTCTCACTTTGCTAGACTTGAAAGTGTTTGACTTTGGTAGGTTACAGCAATTAGTTACTGATAACTTGAAATCTGGCACAAAAATATATCGGTCCAACATAGCATACTTCATATCAGCAGATATTTATAAGGTAGTGAGTGAAACTACTGCCTAGAGCACCAGATAACATTGTATCAAGGATACTGGTAAAACCACAGAACGAAAAATATAGGGTTATACGAAAATCGGGACATAGGAGCAACTGCGACTGGAGAGATATTACCTAGATTCTCTAGTCAAAAGTTAAGAATAACTTATTCTTGATCGGTAAGACCCCACTTTTCATAAATCTACGACCACCAATGGAATATTGTACTGGTGCCATGTCTTGAAGGGAGCTACACTAATTTCTACTGTGGAGAGTAAAATAAACTATTCATTCTAAGTCATATTGTATCCTACAAAATAATACACTACTAACCTGTTTAAAGCACTCCAACTTCGCCGGGCGACCGTTTGTTTTCTTAAGATAGTCGTCCCACGTAAAACTATTAGAACTATCAGCTGAAACGTGGCAACCCATAACACAATGAAATAATAACGAGTAACTTCAGTACTCCAAGAAACAATATGGTAATGTTACGTCACCGTCTGGCTTTTAGTGTATGCTACAACTACCCAGGAATGTTTACGTTTAAGATTATTTCGCTTTTTAAAAACCTGGAAGAGAAAATATGGATATGTGAATTTAATGATGAGTAACATTCTCCACATTGTAATTCTTATTATACTCGCTACTATACTTTCAACTCATTTATTCATAAAAGATGTCTTATCATGGTATTGTGACATGGTAACACGTGATAAAGAACATTTGCGCCAGACTTTACGTTGAGGATGACTAAACCATAAAATACACGTACAACCGACCATCTTAAGATTCCTGTTTAGTCGAATGTTCAAATTCCAAGTAGTGAACTCGTGTAAGAAGAATTGCGAGAGCAATATGAGAAGTTTAAATAAGGGAGAATCAACTTCCTGGAAAACAAAAAGCCGAGGCCATGTGCCCAAATTATGCCAGCAATGAACACTAAATGAAAAAGGAAATTCAAACAGATTCCTTAAGAACACTGAGTATGGAATACGAATGAGAATTTACCATTATTCCCTTAAATCCTAAACAATTCATTCTTCAATTAAAGTGAATGGGCTTCCTGTATCAGGAAACTAATATATGACGCTGCAAATAAGATTCGGCGAAGCGACGTTTCCGAAGTAATAAATAATTACAATTGACCTAACTACGAGGCCTGTTCGAAATTAATCAGTACCAGACATCAAAACATGTGTCAAAAGCCAGCACCACTACGGTGTATTTCTAAGACATTCAACTAACCTGTCAAAACATCGGCTACTAAGGTTAGATATCTCAGCAGCAGCCGAGAGTTTTTTTAGAGCTATGCGACCCTGTAGAAATAGAGGTAGAATACAGAGCGAAGGAGAATGGCTAGTTATATTAACCACAAGTATTACCACTTAAGCAGAGATAGAGTCTAACAACAAACAAGGTTAAACTTCAAACTTGGCTCTTACATTTTTCTTGAATTGTTGCGAATAAAGCTAAAACAGTTTCAAAAGAAACTGTCCAATGTTTTAGACCTAGATTATGAATAACTAAAGCTCGTGCTACAGTGTAAAATCGTTTACAATTTCCTTTCTCTCCATTTTCATAAAAATCACTTCAAACGTTGCGAACGAAATATCAAGACTCCATAATTTCCTCAAGTTTTAGTGTCCGTTTCTTTTTGACAAAGTCACGTACTAGGTGACCTGAGTTAGATTTCCTATTATCGGAATCAGCTTAGCTGGTGCCCTTTGCATCTTTTTCAATGGTTCTTCGTCATGCAAGATGTGATTTTTTCAAGATGCACTTTTATTCCTAATAATCTACCATGTACTAGACGTAAGGCAGGATGAAGACTCAAAAGGGTTTGACTTGTATTCAGAACAGATGGGTGCTAGGAGGTAAACGTCCATCACTACTCGTCTATATCAATGACTGACGTTTCAAAAAGGGCAATGATTTAGTACTGATTGTGATTTTCCTTGCTTTCGTGTACTTGTTGGTGAACACCGAATACATAGAAGCAGCTAATTCAATGGTGGTGATATATAAAATAAAGATTGCATATAAGGATATAATACATGAAGAAAGAATTAGGTCGCATAAAGGAAGATATAAAGCAATCGTAATCTCATAGTTTAAGGGAAGACAGAGAGTGTACACTTCTACGTCATTGTGATCGATTCTGAGTCATGTCACCCAGAGTCTCCAATCATTCGTTACGATAGTCACACGGACTTCAACCAAGTAGTCTGCATCTACCAGTATGGCTAAGACTAGAAGCTAGTAACTTAAAGTACTGATGCCACGTTTTGGTTTGGCCGCCCCTAACTTTCTTCCAACCATCCCCAACACTAGTCAGTAATGCGCGCCGTGATTATCGGTGACCCAACCTTCTCAGTTGGTGAAGATCTACCATCATTCCCTAATACCCTGAGTCTAACCTCACTATTACTTACCCGATGATCCCAGAAGATGTGAGAAATATTTCTAAGGCATCTGTGGTCAAATACTAATAGCTTACGAGTGTCTTCTACTCTTAAAGGCCATGTTTCTCTGCCGTAAAGTAAAAGAGGACGGACTGCCGCGCAGTATACTCGTCCTTTTATTGATAGACGGATATCTCGCCTTCGCCAAAGGTGACGCAAGCTGGCAAAAACCAAACGAGCTCTTCGAATCCGTGCTGAGATTTCGTCCGACACCAGCCCATTAGGGTTGATCAGACGTTCAGGATAAGTGAAGTTGTCGACGCGTTCGACCACTTCATTCCCTATCGTTAGTTCAGGTGTCAACGCAGACCAGTCCTGAGGCGACAAATTGTATTTGGAGGGAGAGAAGCGCATTCCAAACATTCTGGCATGTCGCTCAGTGCTACCAAAAGACTCTGCATTTTATCAGCATCTTCACCAAACAGAACTATATCATCTGCGTATTCTAAGTCGATAAGTGGACCTCCTGGTAGGAGATCGGTGCCCGAAAATCCAGTCGACGAGAATGTTATTTCCATCAGTATGTTTATGATGAAGTTGAACGAAAATGGAAATAGTGGACAGCCTTGAAGGACACCACTTGAGGTTACAAAAGCAGATGATAGTTCGCCATAAGCTCTCACTCGATTAGTAGTGTTCGAGTAAAGAGCCTTCACAAGATTTATGTACTTCTGAGGTGTGCCTTTCAATGACAGACACTACCACAGGATCTCGCGGTCTACGGAGTCAAATGATGTTTTTAGGTCAAGAAAGACCGCCACTGTCGGACGCCGATAAGCATGTCTGTGTTCTAGAACCTGACGAATGGTGAATCTGTAGTCGATACAGCCACGACCAGGTCTGAAGTCAGCCTGATTCTCTCGTGTTTGCAGTTCACGAGTCTTAGTTAGGCGTCCGATAATTATTGAGGCTAGTATTTGAGATGTTATATTAGTTAAACCAATCCCTCTATTGTTATCACAAGATGATTTTGACCCTTTCTTATATATTGGGACGATAAGTGATTGTGACTAGTCAGATGGGATAACGTCTAACTCCCAGATTTTAGCTAAAATATTAGTCAAATTAATCGCTAAAATCGGACTACCATCCTTAAAGACTTCTGGAGCCAATCCATCTGGACCAGCTGCTGTTCCTTGTTTCAAGTTAGCTATAGCTTTCTTAAATTCAGCTAGAGTTGGGGGACCTACTTCAATGTTCCATTCACACTGTCTGGGAATGGAGGGTAGTTGTAGAGTCGCTGAAGGCCAGCTGAACTGTTCTCTGAAATGTTCTGTCCACCGTTTTAAACGTCTAGACTGGGAGCAGATGAGAGTGTTGTCTTTTTCCGAGATATTCTCTCTTACACTTGACTTATTAGTTCCAGTTTCTTTTATTAGTCTGTAGAGCTGTCTTGTGTTCCCTATAGACGCCGCCTTTTCCATCTCTTTTGCTTTCGTTGCCCACCACTGCTCACGGTCGTTCCTCAGACTTTTGGTTAACCTAGATCTGATTTGTTTTCGATCTTCATCGTGTTCAGAGCCTGATGTGATGGGTTCACGAGAATCCATCAGTGTAATAGACCTTGAAGAAATCCATTGGCTCTTCGTGACCCTCTGGTTTATATCACTAATCGATTTCATTGCTGTTTCCACAGCTGTTTGTATATCTTTCCAAGCAACATCTGGGTTAGCCTCGTTTTCAGAACTACCTAAGTGTGACCTCAGTTGTTCCTGGAACCTACTTTTGGTTTTCTCGTTACTCAACTCAGTTCTAATGGGTCTTTTTAATGTGGCTTTTTTGCGTCCAGTGAGGCGCAAGCAGATGCGTGCCCGTATTAGGGCATGGTCGGAGTCCAAGCAGGTACTCCAGAATGAGCGGCAATCTTCTACCGACCCTCTCCAACGATGACGGATGTCAATATGGTCTATTTGAGTCCATCGTTGGTTTGGTATAGGGGTCGCCATGTTAAACGATGTCTCTCCTTATGCTTAAAATTTGTGTTTAATAAAAATAAACGGTTGTCTGAGCATAGTTGCAGCAGACGATCACCATTATCTGTTCGTTGTGCCGGAATACTAAAATACCTGTAGTGGCATTGGACAAAAGCCACACAATCCACAAAGCTGTGAACACGAGACTACTCAGAAAATAGATATTCAATATTTAACGCGGAGAAATACCTAACAATGGAGAAGGCGCGAACAATGAATTGAATGGACTGGAGTTGATCGGATGGCATGGCTCGGCCATGCAGGCGTGGTCCATCTGAATGTTATCTTATATCTTCTTTTCGTATTAAATATATTGTTCCTTCTCTAGCTTAACGTTGTTCTACATCATGTATTGGTAATTGATACGATACAGTGAGTTGGCGTAGTCGATGGTGTGACTTCCACGTAAGATCTTATAGATTAGGCAGTTATATCATGACAAATCTACAAATTTAGGATTAGGTCTATTATTAGAGCAGCAATAATATCATAGTGGAACATAATTCTACATACCCACCTAAATGCCTTTCTGTTTGGTTTAAACTACCTATCTGGGCATTAAAGTCACCTGCTACAGCATAGTGCTGTGCTGTTAGTGGTATCAGGGTAGTTATCAATTCCCAGTTGCCCAAACCGTAGAACGGTCCTTCTGGAGGCACCTGAAAAGGAAATTGGATTAGAGGAGGCCATATTGACCTGAGAGCGTGACCGCAGTACCCAAGGGACAACTGCTTGAGGTCGGTCACACACGACCTTTTTATAACTAATTTTTGTGTTAGCTCCGTACTTCTTGAGACCTTACCGCCAGAGACAGATATACATGGGATAAGGCGAGCTGTGTATTTTTAGGGTCGACCTTTTCTAACCCCATCCCACCTTGTGAGAAGGCAGCATCGCTGTCATTCTGGTTATCTGAAGGAAACACATTGCTGCCGTCACACCTCTGTTCATTCAGCAGCACGAATTCGCCCTCAGAACTTGGGTTTGTTGTTTTTAG